TCAAAATTTGGACAAACGAGGTTTGAAGATATATGGACTGAAATAGGAAGTGTGTTAAGTATCAAAACACCTTTGTGCTAGCCAGTGAGTATTTTGGTTTGTTGTAGTTTTGTTTGGTAGCTTGGCGAGCGCCGCCTAAAGGCGCTCGCGTTCCTCTCCTTCTGCCCCAGGCGTCCCATGCGAGGGACGCGGCTGCGGGTCCAGGGGAGGACAGGGAACAACGGGAAGACCTGAAGAGTCGCCGACGCGAGGACGGACGCGCCGGCGGGACGGACTGTCGAGCGCCTGTGACGAGCGTCGGAGGCAAGACACCGGAACAGCAAGCAAAACTGACACTGGTGTTAGCGGTGTAGCTCATCCATTACACCAATTCGAACCCGCGCGTGTCGTCGGTCTGGCCATCTCACTCGCCCCGGCTTCGTTCTACCACGATGGAGCTCAGCCGCTCGCAGCGAGGCTTTTGATGACTGCTGCCGCCGAAGTTTCGTCAACCTGTTCCACTCCATCCGAGCTCTCTGGCAGTGTTTGTCATCATTTATCGTGACGCTGTCAGCAATCGCGCCTCACCCGCGGCTGAGCAGACGGCGCCTACCAGTGCCCGCCCTACCGTAGCCACATCGCCACCTGTCACCTCCACTGCGCATGGAACGGTCCTGTATTGCGACCACTTCCGCCAGACCAGACCCTTCTTAGTCGTCTCAGTAGACCGACACCGCAGCCTCCGCCCAGGACCTGTTCATCGCCCTCCCGACGACGACTCATCTGCTATCAGGAGAGGGGCAGTCAGCGGACCAGTCGCCGCAGAGCAAGGGGACAATTCTCTGTCCAAGGTCCGGCGGCAGCTCCCAGGATCCACACCCCCTGCTGCGCACGGAACGGCCCCAAGCAGTCGAGAGTGTGACGTCTTGCACACGTCAATCAATTTTACAATTGTCGTGTTTTTATTTGGCCTCAAAATCTTGTGATCGTTTGCTAATGTTACGGCTTTATTTAGCTAGGTCGTACGTACTTGCCTGAACTTCGACAAGAACAAACCCCGAATTGTTGTGTTTTGACCCAACATGGCATCCTTCAGCATCCAAATCTCAGTTCCCCGATTCATCGGCGTCGGCCAAATGGTGTCCGTGTTCATCGCTAACCTCAAGGCTCTGCGTTTGGACGGCGCCGCAAGGCTGCCATTCAGCTCACTGTCAAAGGAACAGCGAGAAACTCTCAGATTCGTCGAAACGGCCCTTGGGAACTTCTGTGTGCCTCTCACCCCGGTCACTCAGCATATCCAGCTATCCCAAACGAAATTTGACCCGGGTGACACCAGTTTCGATTTATTCCTGATCAGCCTATCGCATAACTATAAGGCTTTCCCGGGACAGCAGGGTCCAGCAAAGACCTGCTGTTCATCTATCTCCTCCAGGCTCTTCCAGCTCAATTCTGCCACACGCTTATTGCAACAGGAATCGCCGATTATGACGCGGCGTAATTACGGTGCGACACCTGCTGGCTGCTGAAGCTCTGCCTTCGCAGCCGTTTGCCGCAGTCAAGTGGACAATGAACCACAGTGGACAACAACAGTGGACGAGGGACCACCTCTGATAGCATCCTACGACAGATTCGTGGATCACCTCCGCCTGGGACTGTAGAAAACATATAACTTCGCGCGACAACGCACAGAGGCGACCAGCGTCGCAAACCGAGATCTGTACGGCCGAAAGTTAAACGCGTTCCACCACCAAGCGGTTGATGCGTGTGCCTGTTCCGGAAGGCGCCTGCCCGAGGCGAGTATCAGAAGTTCGTTCGGCCCTGGAAACCGGCGATGCTGTTTGCCCAAACAGCTGAGCTTAACTGCCACACTTAGCTGTGTGGCGGCAGGCGCAGGAAACTGCTGGTCCGCCACGATCGGTTGAAGCCGCGTAATCGTGACACTGTAGAGCAGCAGTCGCCGTCGCCAATACCAACACACTGGACTGCGCCAGCCGCGGCGCCGCACAGCCAGACAGCCGCACAGCCAGTCGTAACGCCAGGTGGCTACTCATTCCCACCACCGCCGGCCGTACCGATGTCCACAGACGGACGGCAGACAGCTGTACCGGCTGAACCTTCTTTGTGTCTGTCAGTGACGCGGGGGACTGACGTGGCTGAGTGTCCGCCTGAGGAGGCTCATGCCGCGAATCTCTCTCCAGCCCAAGCCGCGGTTACGAATCAGTCGGCAGAGGACGAGGCTGCGAATCACACGCCATCCCAGGCCGCGACTGAACCGCCTAACGAGCCGGCGACAGCAGCGATACCGATCCCGTGTCCTATCCCGCCTCGCAGATCCCGTATCCCGCGACCCACGCCACGGCCCTCTCCACAATCTGGCGCCAACCAACAAATCCCCGCCAAGTCCGAGTCCCCATTCGAATGCGTGCAGGTCCGGGTCCCAGTGTTTGTAGGGCTACCGTCTTCGAACGGTCATCGCGAACAGCGGAGCGCCCGAGTCAGGCGCCTCCAGAGCGGTTTAGCCCGTGACTGCGATAGCTGGGTACATAACAATGATTCATGGCGATGATTGCAAATCGTAACAATGATTAATTTGTACTGTTTGTGTTACCATGCCGTCTAAGTTGCCTGCAATGACGCAACGGATATCGGTGAAGGGTCTTTCTTACTGTGCACGTCATATTAGGTTCGTGGGAGAACAGATATGTGCTAGCCAATGTGTGCGTAGTTCGACGAGCGCCGCTTAGAGGTACTCGCATTCCTAGACTAATGTCCCAGGTACCCCATGCGAGGGACGCGGCCGCTGGGGCCAAGAGAGTAGGCGGAGACAAGGGGAAGATTCCGAGAGCCGCCTGCGCGAGGACGGACGCGCCGGTAAGATGGGCTGTGACGAGCATCAAATTCAGAAAGGACTTTATACGTAACGTGTGTACTAGTGAGCCGGGCGCTAAATACTGGAACATCAGAACCTACATATGCGCCACACCCTTACATTTTACAGCACCCCAGGGTTCTAGAGTAGAACCACGGCACGTCCAGCAACCGTTGCACCATACATGAGTTGGAAGCAATTTGGCAGCATTGTTGGCTAATCCCAGTCAACTAGAACTTCCAGATTTATCTTGAGATATTTTGTCAGGAAAAATCTCTTGCCATTTGGAACACGGGTCCTTGCGGCCGTTACCTCACAAAATTTCTGAAAATTTCTTAAACCGCAAAATACCACCAAATACCCACGGAACTCTCTCGGCAAAAAGTCTCTAGCGACTGGGAAACAAATATAGGCATGCGCCACAACCACCGACATTCGTCGCCCAATAGAGCTGGTAGGGGGAGGGCGCTGCACTGGTTATATTGTGATCGGCGTATCAGAAAAGATTTGTGTCTAGATCTCAGCACATAAATTACATTGAACTCAACACTTCTGTTCTATGGTATGGTGTGGGACAGTACGGAACGTATGGGATGTACATCGGCGAGTGGGTTGCGCCCACTTGTGCCAAAGCAAATAAGCATAGTTTGCCTCAAAGCTGCTTTTTCACTGCTTCCCTGCATGTTCCACGGTTGCCAGCCAGTTTTTTGTTCATTGGTTGAAACTAAAAGACTGGATCTGATAAACATAATGGCATTTTTGGGCATGAATGTTTTTGTTTTAATGTGAGGATAACAAGGTCATCATCTTGTTTATAGATCCAAACTTGTGGACCATGGCAAAGCAGTGCCATTTCCACAGACATAGAATATTGTGATTTGTCCTTACATCAAGCTAGGAGCATGCAACTGAATGTTACCATCTGGAATATCATGTCCATTGGCCATGCTGCTGAGCCGTATATTTGGTTTTAGAAGCGGACCCATAAATTAAATACTTTTTTGTTATTTAATTCCTTTATATTCTAATTGTTCATTCCCATTTGATGATGCCTACCAAGTGGTTATATTTATTCTCCATGCTGCTAAGTTGTAATTGGTTAGTAACAAAGTGGACCCAAACACTACCTATTTTGCCTTATTCCCATCCTGTATGCTTCAGGTTCTCATCCCTAAATAATGAATGCTGAGAAGTGGTTATGAGCCAAATGGTACCATAGTAGACTGCCCCTTTGGTATTGTGGTAGCTGTGGTAATCTGCTGCATTGCCATATTTGATGGAGAAGCATATTTTAAATGTATTTTATGTAATCTTTGAACAATTAATGCTGCATAGATATGAATAAATGTATTCATTTTAGTATTTGTAGGCCTTTTGCCATTTTTACTGGGTGTTATCCACTTTTGATGCCTTGCCCAACTTGAGATTTGAGACACCAGCATTAGAAATGAAAACTATAATTATGTTTCTCATCATCATGTTCCCATGCAGCCTCCTTGCACAATATCTTGAGAGCAATGGCCTCCACTGTTAGTCCAGGCATGGAAAAACATGTAAAACATGCACCTTACAAATTGCATTGTCCTTATGCTTCTGTGAAATTGTGTTGCTGCCTGTGGCAGCCAGGCTCCTCAGATGTGGTGTTGAGTCCCACCTCTGGCTGTTGCAGGCAGACGATGTTGGCCGGCCTGCTCCCTCTGAGCGCGGCACTTCTGCCCGGCCGGCCCCAGTGGCTGTCTCACCTGCTCCTCTCCTCGCAGCCAGGGCGCAGTCAGCAGCTGCGCCTGGCGTTCGCCGCCAGCGAGACCGAGCTACGGCGCCAGCTGCGCCTCGAGAGGCTGACGCCCGCCGAGCGCCTCATCCACGAGGCGCACGAGCGCGCTGTACAGCGCGGCCACTTCACCTACGACGACCCGCAGACGGGCCTGCGCGTGCTGACGCGGCTGCGGCCACTTCCTGCGCGGCAGCTGTTGCGGCAACGCCTGCCGCCACTGCGTCTACGAGCACGAGGCGGTGCCGGCCGGGCTGCGCGCGCGCCGCCGCTTCAACTCAGCCTTCTGGGTGGACCGCCCGCCGCCGCCGTCGCCGCCCGCCGGTGGCGTCCACAGCGACGACCCCGACGATGTGGACTTTGTGTAGCAGATGCACCCGGGTGTATGACGCGCGTGAATGTTGGGTGTAGTGGACTCCGTGAAGTGGCATATCGTAGCAACCAGTGACTAGAAAGCAAGCTTTTAACGGTACAAGAGAGTAAAGTGTGGGTGTCTTCACGGCGAGACGTAAGGTAAGTTGTCACTGTATTGTGAAGTTTCTGTAAATATATGCACCGTTCTGGGAATGACGAACGTGCATTAGCATGAGCGCCCCCTGGCCTTGGAACCGTGGTGACATAACTTATGGTTTTTCTGTCGCCTGATACAGCTTTTCTCGCGGGGATACTGTAACAAGTCATGGAGCCATAGCAATGCTTTGATTTGCCACTGGACTTCATTCATGACCCGCCCTCGAGTGGACTGGGCTGTTGACTGGCCATGGTCCAGGACGGCCCCGGACGTCCTGGGCCGGGCCTTGACTCGCTGCTGATGCCCGCCGCTGGCGTTTGAGCGACGCCGCCCGTCTGCAGGTCGCCGCCATGCCGTCGCTGACGTCACTGAACAAGTACAACCGGGCAGCGCTGCGCGTGACGGTGGCGCAGATCTGCCAGACGCTCGGCTGGCAGAGCGCCTCGTCCGTGGCGCTGGACGTGCTGGTGGACGTCATGCAGAACTACCTGCTGGAGCTGGCCAAGATGACCGGGCGATACGCCAACCAGTGTGAGCGGCCGGGGAGGGCGGGGCGGGCCTGCGTTGACGCTGGCTCCGTCGGGCGGACCCCAGGCTGGAGTCGCTCCCAGCTTGCGTGTGCTGTCGCCCGCGACGATCTTACCGAGGAATTGCGATACCAAATGTCCTGGGATGTTGAAGGCGTCGTGAAACGTCCAAGATTGTTGGACATGTCTTTCGGTGTGGCACCTGTCCGTGTTCTGATTTAGCCGTCAGAGCGCTGGATGTGATAGACCGTGGCATGTTCTATACGCCTTTGGACGACGGTAAATATTTGACGAAGTGCCCTTGCCAATAATAGTGTAATTGACAAAGGTTCCTTTACGCACTGCGCTTTCACAACGTCGTCTGACTGCGGCTCCCTGTTTCCTGCCGTGTCGTGTCCCTGTCCCTGTCGTGCAACTGCACGCGCGCTGGTTCAGCACACGCTGTGCTGGTGCTGTCCGCTCCGCTGCTGGGCGGCGCGGGCCGCCTTCGCCTGCTGACCCAGAACTGGTGCGCAGTCGACCGCACGCTGGCGAACCTGGACGACCTGGGCCTGGCGCTGCGCGAGCTGGGCGTGCCGGTGGCCGAGCTGGAGGAGTACGTGGCCACGGTGGAGCCGGCGCCGTTCCCGCAGCGGGTGCCGCGTCTGCCCGTGCCGCGCTCCACCAACCTGAGCTTCCTCAAGCCCGGCAGCCAGGAGATCGTGACGCGGCCTATTCACATCTACGAGCACCTGCCGCCCATGCACCCGGAGACGGCCGGTGGGTGGCGCTGCGCGTGGCTGGGGGGGGGGGGGGGGGAGCTGGCTGACTGAACAGTGTCAGGTGGCTACAGGGTGGGGCGCGCTTGACGGTTGGATATGTGTTACGCGGTGCCCGGCAGCTGATCGGTCAGCGTCCTCGGGATGGTATTTGCCGTTCTCAAGGAAACAAATATGTCCTGAAGGTTTTAACCACGGTGATCAGAATTGTAGCTTTCAGAAACCGCACGATCATTTGAAACATTGCGCCCTTAGTGCTATAAATACGGCTGGGTGAAATTGGAGCTTGAGTTGACTAAACTTGCATTGTTAAGTCTTGGAACGCGTTGTACCGAGTCAGCGTCACGCGTAGTCATCTTGATGGTGTTCTCGCGCGCTGTGTGGGGTGCTGAAGCGTGACTGGTACCCATGCGCGCGCTCAGAGGAGGAGCTGAACGACTCGCAGCCGGCGGAGTCGTCGAGCGGCCGGTCGGTGACCGGCGCAGGCTGCCAGTCCAGGCCTGAAGCGGCCTGGTGAGCCGCTCACCAGTGACGTCAAGCGTGGACGGTGAGCTGACGGGCCGCACGCGCCGGCCGCGGTCGAGGGACAGACGACAGCGCCAGGGTGTTAACGTGCTGGTTGGCTGCCCAGGCTTGCGGTGTGTTTAGCCGGTCCCATTCTCTGTGCTGCGCGAAGCAGAGGTGACATTGCGAAGCTGTCGTTGCCAACAGAGGTGCTTTTAGGCAATGCATTTAGGCAATGTTGAGCAGTGCGTGCTCTGCAGTGCATGTTGTATGGAGCCGTGTGGTTCACGGTTTGATGTTCGGTTACGGAGTGTGTCGTCGGCGTCTCGTTTCATGTGCCGGCTACTGTGAGCTGCCGGTGTGCGTTGTCTGGCGTGGCGGTGACACGCGGCGCGCTCTGGCCGTCGCCAGGTTCGCCGCCGAGGAGGAGGGCAGACCAATGCGGGAGATTCTCAGCGTCATGATGACCACCTCCGGCTTCATCTCGCCGGCGCGCGAGGGCAAGCTGCCCGAGACGCGCCTGCCGGAGCCGCTGGACGACTACGGCGACGACTACCGCAACGTTAAGACGCGCAAGCAGCGCGCCGACACCTACCGCCGCCTCTCGGAGCGCGAGAGCGAGCGGCGCAACCGTGACCGAGACCGTGAGCGCTGGCTGCGCGAGGACGACCTGTTCGACATCATTGACGTCAAGGTGGAGGAGGAGGAGACGAGCGCCGGCGCCAGCCCCGAGAAGCTGCCCACCGTCAAGGAGACGGCCAAGCTGAAGCCCTTCAAGAAACACGTCAAGGCAGAATCGACGCCATCGAAGGGTTCGGCCGCCCACGCGCCGCCGGCCACCGTCTCCCCGAGAGGCAAGGCTATTGATGACCGGGCCAGGCTCAAAAAGAAGAAGAAGCTGAAGCCCGTGGAAGGAAAGAGCAGTAAGCTGTCCATTTTTAAGAAGATTGCCAAGTCCAAGCAGGGAAAATCATCAGACCGGCCATCCACGTCGGGCATTGATTTTCTGAAAAAGAAAGCGAAGAAAAAAGTGCCGCCGACAAACCGCACTCCTACAAAGTCGAGCGACACCAGGCCCCCAAAGCCGCCAGACCGCTCGCCTTTGAAATCGACCGACCACGCAGCGTCCAAGTCGGCCGAGCATCCATCGTCGAAGGCGGTGGAGCGCGCGCCAACCAAGGGCGCTGAGCGCGCGCCGGCCAAGGCGGCCGACCGCGGCGCGTCCAAGCACGTCGACCGGTCGCCACCGAAGGCGGCGGAGCGGGCGCCGGTGCGGCCCCGCTCGCCGTCGCCGCCGGTGGTGAGCACGAGCAGCCTGACGCCGCCCGGCACGCCGGGTACGCCGCGCGTGCCCGAGCCGCACGCGCCGCGCCGCAAGCCGTCCGAGGTGAGCCTGAGCGACCTGTCACCGCGCTCGGACGACTCGGGCACGCCCGACCGGCCGCGCACGCCTGAGCTGCCGGCCAGCCGGCGCGAGCCGCCCGACCCAGCCGCGCTGCTCAACAATCCGCTCATCCCGCGCTTCCCGTTCCCGTTCAGCGCGGCGGCCGGCGAGGCGGGCGTGCTGGCGCCGCCGTTCCCGGGATTGCCCGGGCTGCGGCCGCCGCCGTCGCTGTTCATGAGCGCGCCGCCCGGCGCCCCGCAGCCGCCGCCGCCGCCGCCGCCGCTGGCGCTGGCTGACGAGCGGCGCGACAAGCCGCGCCCGCTGGCGGCGCGCCCGCTGGATCCGCGCCGCAGCCCTTCAGACGCCTCGGACGGCTCGCGCTCGCCCACTCCCGACCTTAGCGGCATGACGCCACTCAAGCGGCTGGAGATGGCCGAGCGCGCCGAGAAGGTACGCACCGCCCGCGCCGGAGTCGCGTGTTGTTGGCGTTTTGACGGTTGTGGGAGGTCCCGTGCCGCCCTCTCGCGGGAGGATGCGGGCTGCGTGAAACGAGCGTGGTGTCAGTGTGTCCCGCTGGTATTCGTGGCGATGGCTTCGCTATCACTGAGTTAAGCAGATCTTTCCGATGGTCACCGTCAGCCGTCGGGATTGGCCGTTTCGTCCGTGTTCTTGAATAAGTGAGGATGTTAACACAGTACTATGATGTAGAGATGGTATAGTAGAGTAAGTAGTATACTAAGTAAGTATACTAAGTAAGTATACTAAAGTAAGAGAGGAATACTATGATGTAGCGACGGTAGGAGCCATTTCAGCCTGCCTCCCACGTTCCGGTGTTCTTCGGATAGTTTTCCAACATTTTTGCATGCCTATGTTCTAGAAAAAGGAGAAAGAACATAAGAAGAACAAGAAAGATAAAAAGGACAAGAAGAAGAAGGATAAAAAAGATAAAGAAAAGAAGGATCTCAAAACTGATAAAAAGGAGAAGAAAAAGAAGGAAGAAAAGGACAAGATTCCACCCAAAGCACCTGAGGTGTGCTATTTATTCACCACGTTTGGTTTTGTCTCGCATATTTCAAATCGGGATTGCACCTTATGCCTTCGACGTGAGCCCGTCCATAAATTACGTTATGCAAGGAGGGGATCGCAAGTTTTGATTGAGTGTGGCAAGAGCTTCACAAAATAGGAACATGTTTTGGACACTATAACATTACGCTCAAGTAGGGTTGCAAATCATGCTTAAATATTTAAAATAAAAAAGCATTCAAGCCAGATGTTACCCCTCTTCCTCTTCGTCTCGTCTTCTCTGCTTCCTCTCATGACACGGAGCACGGCCGTTATTTACGTATCTCGGTTATCTCTAGCTCAGGGGTCGAACGGACGATACTTTTTGTGGTATCACGCTTAAACACAGGGTAATCAGGGCGAGGTTTCGCCCGCAACGTAATTTATGGCCGAACCCCGTGCACAGCATCACTGGCACGCTGGCCGAATCATGTGCCATACAGATACTGTATGCAGAGCGTGGGGTCGTCGTGCGATAGCTGGCTTGACCAGAGCGTCGTCGGCTGTGACAGGTGCCGAAGCTGACGCTGCGCCTGGGCAGCCACGACTCCTCCAACAGCCGCTCGCCGACGCCCGAGGCGGCCGCGCCCAAACTGTGAGTACCGAACGACTCGGACCCGGCACCAGGTGCAACCTGAACTGTTGACCACCCCGCTGACGCCCTGAGTCGGGGCTGCCCGAGGTGCGGGGCCGGAGTGTTTACACTGCCAGTCGGGTCTTTCCCGGGCGGTCAGTTATGAGCGACTCAGTCTCCGAGCCGGACAACCCGACTCGGAACGAAAATGCATCAAGACAGGAAAGTGGAAATGCCTCCAGCTTTGCTGACCCTAGGTGTATGAGACGTCGACCATACACTACCCGCCTTCCGAGCTAATGGAGTCGGTGATTTGGCTCCGTCCATATTACAGGGTGATAAAGCCAATGCGGGAACAGGCGGAGCCGTCCGCCTCCGCGCCCGTCGGGAAACCGAGCAAGAAGGACAAGCCGGAGAAGAAGAAGGTGGATGAGCCGCCTCCTGCGCTGCTCAAGCCACCCAAGAAAGAGAAGAAAAAGTCGCCGAGCGTGAAGCCCAAGAAGACGCCTCCCAAGGCGCAGCCAGCGGCTGTCATCGCTGAGACCGTCGGCTCGTTCTTGGTGAGGATGGCGCTCTGATGCGGCCTATGACGTGATGGGCGCCTTCCTGGCTCCTCTGGTGCGGAGGTCGTGTGTGGGAACTGTTGGCGTCCAGCTTCACGCTGGCTGAACTAGTCCTTGATGTCTCGCCAAGCTTGATCAGACTGCGACTTTGCGGAATTACGTGCCTTCGCGCTATGTCCGCGGAGTAAAACTGTTGTGATCTAAAGCGTGCTACCAGTTACTTCTAAGGAATAATCCGAGGTTTCTTTGCAGCTTCAGAGCCGCAGGGCAAGGTCTAGCACACATCTAACAACGTCTCGTGAAGCGCATATGTTTCACGATTTAGTCACTCTTAGGTGTGAGAAAGAATGCATAAGTCGGCGACCTCAAATGATAGGAATAGAAACTGGAAACTCCCGAGACTGGCGTAAAAGTGTTGTACACACAATTTCCAAAATTTAGGATCCGTTCTAAAAGAGAACCGGTAGTGTGGTTACCTCTCTGTCGAGGAGGCGTACATAAGCACAGGCTGGCCAAGTGCAAAACTTAAGGTCCTGTTCACAACAACAGACAAACATGCTCCGGGGTTCTACATACCAGGTACAACCATCCTGCGATTCGACAGTTAAATCGCGTGGTGCCGTGACATCGGTTGCTCGTAATGTTGGTTCGCGACGTGCGCCACGAGGTGCGCAGGAATTGTCTGGCTGGACAAGAATTGATGACGTCAGTGAAATAAGTGACCCTGTGGTCCTTGAAGGGATAGCAGGGGCCTGACTATTGCCAATCGATATGCGTGTGGAGTTAGTTTTCAGTACTCTCGGATGCGGTGTGAAAATGTTGAAATTAGTGATTGCCTCAGGCAGAGTATAATTACTGTGTTATGTGGCTGATTTTTACACCTCTATATTTGTGACAGAACGACGCTACTTCGTGAGAATAGTGTTTTTATGGACGAACCGGAGTGAGCTGTGCGCATTGTGTTTAGCTTGACCTCAGTATACGCTGTGCTAGTGCTCCGATCATCTGGCCGTTATCACACTCGTCGCCAGGACCGCCGTGCACGTGATGGTTTGACAAATAACCAGCATTGTGTGATGTCGCCGCGCAGGACAACGAAGGCAATCGGATCTGGATATGCCCCGAGTGCGGTCGCCAGGACGACGGCTCGCCGATGATTGGCTGCGACCGCTGCGACGACTGGTATCATTGGTCAGTATTTGTCCATCGTGTGCTGGCCAATAAGAACCGTTGCTTTTACTCATTGCTGCGTGTGGCGATATGGCCCAGTCGTACGCCGCGCGTTCCAGGAACTGAGCTGGTTGTATGATGGCTGCCTGGCATGTTGTCGCCGAGAGATATCGTTTCTGGACAGGATGTGCACTTTTGCTTTGACTTCTTTCATATGATCTTGCCTCACAAACCATTAATCCACGTAATTAAATTGTTGAAGCCCAAGACACGTGCGAACATGCTAATAGTTGACGCCCCAGTCCCAAAAAGATGAAGTTCACTGTAACGATGCAAGACAAATGTGGCATGCCGCCTTCTGCGTCTCCAGCTCGGTTTGGTTTGCCTCGTTTACTCTGTATCTCGAACTTTTAAACCAGTCTTACTTCGCCCAGGTGTTAGGCTGTGTATAGATTTCCAAAGAAGTATCCATGAAATGGTCATGCTGGGTTTAAGTTGGCGCGTTCAGATCCAGGAGCATCTCAGTCACTGGACCCTGGAGCCTCTTTTGCTTTTCTGCCAGCCCATTTGGCCATGTTTCCACTAAACACCACGGGGTTCTCGTATAAGTTCAACAAAAAAAGGATGCGCTATGGGGTGCTTGTCCTTTCGTACATATACATTGTGCATCCAGAGTGTATCGGCGACTTTTGCTGCCAAAGTCGCATCGTATTGTGGCAGTCGGCATCTTTAAGCGTGAGGTAATGTTTAAATGTCAAGTTCTTGTGACAACGAAACTCGTTGCATATGGTACCACCTTGAATTTATCCGCGAAATCATTCTGAGATGTTTGAAAACGCCACCATGGCCGACCACAACTTTTTGGATTACATGAAACGGGAAGAGGACCTAACCCATCTCATCACAGTTTTGTTAACTACGAATGACTTTGCAGGGTGTGCGTTGGCATCCAAGTGCCTCCAGATAAGAACGAAGACTGGTTCTGTCCACGCTGCATAGCCAAGAAGCAGGATAGCGTCAAACAAAAGGGCAAGGGAAGGGGCAAAAAGAAGTGAGCGGGATGGCAACAGCGGGGCCTTCATCATGCAGCGTGCATTACTCCAACCATTCTCGTAATGGAACGTCGTTTCGGTGATGAATTACCGCAACATATGGCGGGCTGCACAGTCATCAACTTGCCTGCGGAGGCGTGGGCGAGCCGTTGTACGACTGATTGTGGAAAATGTCCCGTTGGTTCCGTACTTCGACCTTAATAAGGTCTGCTATGTTGACGAATGTGTACTCGAAACATTAAAATGTTCTCGATCCGCGAAGCTCGTTTAAGTCTGGCGTACCATTACGGCCAACGTGTGAGCACGGTTTATTGTGATGCATCGACCACTCAAAATGGAGAGCACAGCGCACAGAACGAAGCATGTCATTCGCCGATAACCGCGCAGATAGTAAATGTAGCCACTCGCGACACTTCATCAGGGCGGTACGGGCGCGCTCGCCGTCATGATCGACGTCCGGCTTACTTATACCTAACCTACGACGAAAACGCGATCAAAACGAGCATTTTACACCAGTTCATTGTCATTCACCACACCAGGACATGCTGAGGCAGGTGTCCACAGCAACGTGGCCCGGCACCCTCGGCGGAGCACGGCTGTTTTCACTTGGTCCAGCTGACTTTGGGAATGTCGAAGTGCTCGGTCAGACTGTCCAGATGCCTGTTGAAGTCCTCCACTCTCTGTTTATGGGTCTTGGAAGCCTTTTCCATGATCCTCTTCAGCTCCTGAAATTGTCAAGGACTGGTAAGAACAAGTCTTTGGGAAAAGCTGAAAACTCTACTGAAAGGTTCAGCCAATCTGGTTATGGTCTCTGACATAGCCTATTTGATCACTGATAAGATGACATTGATCTGGATAAAATGATAAAATGATGAGGGTGCACTGAGTGCACTGAGAGAGCATTCCATGATCCCATTGTGGTAACTTGAATTCTGGGGGTTAAATCTTTTAATCATTGGTTCAACTTTAGATCCTAAAATCAAATTTTCTGGACATGCTGTACATGTGCTCACATACCACTGATCTTCTGCCACCATACTGAGAAGAATGGGGGCCACAATTGGGAGATGCCAGATTTTTATGTACTTTGGGGCATGTTATGCCATTTATCATACTTCACCCCACAACAACCTATGTGAAACTTTACCACTGGCTATAACCAAACAGATCTTGAAACAAATATTTAACAATGTTTCCCTTGCACATACACTAACCTCCCCCTAAACTTGTCAACTTTGCACACAAGATCTCACCATACCCCTCCAAAAACTCCTTATAGTCCCTGTACCTGCATAACTGCCTGCATCACCAGTAGAGGCATCACACTTTCGAATAGTCTCAGATAATGGAATCTAGTGTGAAACTGGTGCAATATTGATATCATTCAATGCACAATACATGTTTGAATAACTCTTACCCTTTATTTAGCTCCAAACACAATATAATGGCAATGACAAATTTCATCTCACACCTGTCAGTTTGCTTAATCTATGGCGCAGCACCCGGTGTGTGAGACTCGCACCAGTGATACCTAATTGGCTACATCTGTTTCAAGAGCACATTTCCCCTACTGGAAAACCCAATCACAAATTTTGAGGAAGTTACACTTAGCCTGTGATGGTCTTACATTTTTCTCTCTCTGCTTCTCAAATGCCAGTTCTGCCTTTGTCTTTATTCTCTGTGGCTTTTTAAATTCACTCTGTTCACTGGTATCTGCACCTGATTTCACAATGGAATCCAGAATCTTCTGCTTATCTTTCTTCTTTTTCTTCCTGAAACAATGGAGCAAAAACACAACTTTACAATTTGTGCCCTGGCACATGATTCACCTTAGTCAAACATGGCACCCACTATCCTGTGCTAACCATACCAGTGATGACCCCATAACAAACATACCACTATCACAGTTTACTTGATGATGGCATGACAGCCACGGTTTGCTTAGCAGCTTCTCAACTCCCACATTTATCTGGATGCGGCAACCTCCATCAAACACAGTGACACATCAGGATTATCAAAGGCTATGAGAAGCTGATTGAGCCATGTGCACATACCAAAGGTTGCAAAAATGACTTCTGCCTGCAACACAAAACATATGCCTGGATCTGGCAATACAGATAGAACTAGCTCCATTACAGTGCTGTATGCTCCCAGACACTACATGAGTACACAGGAGATGGCATAGTGACCACTGCCAAACTATTTGAATGTCATGAGCACCTGGGGGACAGAGCAAATATTTGCAGTTACTTCATTTTTCATCAGATGACAGAGCCTAGCCATTACATCCTATACAATTAGACATGCAAGCAGTACCAGCAAATGTGATATGACAAGTCCAAACAATTTGAACTGACAGACAAAACGCAGATACATGGCCCACCCAATTACTCACTTTTTAAGTGAAGGATCTGAGACACCTTTCAGCTTTAAGCCTGATTTGCCTACAAACTGGTATTCAGACATGGCGATTTATACTTATCAATGCCGTTTAAGCTGCCTGAGAATGTCACGCCCCTTCAACGGCGGCGCGACTCACGCACAGCTAAGATTTTTGCGCGAAGTAACGAATGCCCGCAGTATTAGGTGAAGGCAAATGCAATACGCAAGTCGCACGTTAAGCGTTCATAACACCAACACCCTGAAACTGCGTCGCAATTAGCGCATCAATGAGCCCAAGGTCGCACTAGAAAGGTAAAACTGTCCGGTGATTTTGGCTTCATCTTCGCTTAACGCCAGCATTACGTCACTGGTTCCAAAATTTCACTGCGCTGTCCCTTGTGCGCGGCGGTCCGCTACCGACAGACGTAATGCTGGGGCACACCCGGAACGTGAAAATAGATACAAATACACAATTAATGAAAATGCCGTCAGCGACTGATGCGTGTGGCCACCGAGCCGGTCATCGACCTCGTGATCAATGTGCAAATGTGCAATGCGCTTTATAAGCTCATGCGGAAAGCTTTACAATGCCAAGGCATGAAAAGTGAAGACGTACACCCAAGGCTTATTCGCGTTAGGGTGGCATCGAACATTGTACGGGCGCAATCCACCCACGCTCTCGTACCCGTACTTCTACGTAGCACTATTCACTTCCTAGGCCGATTAGGTTTGAACGGTTTGGCTGGTAATAGGCTTACAAAACACATTATAATTGTTGCCATTTAGTTTTACTTGCTAAGCTCGCGGATATATGCAACTATCAGTAAGCATCTGCTGGTTGCCGGTAAGAAGATAGCTCGATGTTCAGGCTGCCCCATAAGCAGTAAGCCTCCAACACACCTCCGCGCGCGCGCGTTTTACGCGCAAAAGACCGCGCGTAAACGTCTTTGCTTTTAACCGCTAAGCATACGAAATTGCAAACAACACTTCATTACACTCCCCACAAAATTCTACGCATTCATTTCCCTATTAAGGTGCATCTGTCCCAAAGTCTGTTGATTATCGGTGCGAAAGCAGTCCGTTATCACGGCCGCTCATCTCTGCAGCCATTCTTGCGTTGGCGTTTTTAATTTCCACGCCAACGTCATTGTAATGATTGTCCACATAAGCCTGCAAAGCATATTATTGCATTCGACGTTAAACATTCCGCAGTTGGCTCGCTCGTCACGTGCACCTGTCGCTAACAGCTTGCTCGCCACGGATGCGAAGAGAGCCCAACTTTTTGCCGTCCCACCCGTATAATCATTGCGTGCACGTTTTCACTTATCACGTCATCGAATTTTAATGGCTTGCCTTATGGGCTTACAAAGCACATCATCATACTCATCATCAAATTGTACGCATTCAGCTCGCTGGTCACATGCAGCCTCCATTAGCATTTTGTACACTATGACTATTTGTACAAAAATTTCCGATTTTTGGTTGCCACGCAGGGCTATGCCCCAAGGCTAGCGTCCGGGCCTCGTTTAGGTCTCGGCACTAGTGACGTTACTGTCGTGTTCAGACCGGGTAAACATTCGGTTTATGGGCAAGCACGGCATCCCCCTGTGCGGGACCTGCGCAAGAACATGACATAGTTATGTTGGTTACGCAGATGTAGTGTACGGTGCAAAACCCAAGGTTTGTAATACCAATAACCAGCAAAGACAAAAACGAAAACGACATGGGCGCTTCTAATCACAAATTGACATAATTCATTGACAATCGGGTAAAAGGTCGAAGTTCGTGCGACATACACTTCTGGAAAATTCTCCTGTGAGATAATTACCGCGACGGCAGAAGATTATGTGGGAAAATATCATGCAGGATAACGGTTACAACTGAAAAAGCCGTTTGGAGTACAAACCGCACGTGATGAAAATCGTACGGGATAAACGTCGAAATGGCGAAAGCTCTCATAAGACACAGACTGCGTAAAGTACAGAACGCACGGTCAACTTTGCTTCTTGGGTGGCGTGCTAAGGAAGGCACAGCTCGTGACCAGTGCCGGACCGACAAACGATACGTCTCCTCGACACCCCCACCACCAGGTGCACCGAGCTGAACGAATGCCTGGTCGGAGGTCGGCACCGGTTGGGAATTTGCGGCTGGAACAAAGCATTCGTTTTTGTGTTAAAACTCCATGGCGTTCCACCATTCAATATATCTTATATTATACTTAGATGTGAAATATATTTTTAATGATATAATATATGAATATTCAGTAGCGAACATATTCATATTTGAATCAAGATTTGGACGTGCCCAAACCGCGGTCACGCATGACTTGGCCGTCAACAAGTCGCCAAAGGTAGACTAAAAGATCTACGAAGTTACGTAGGGGCGTACTTGGGTTTTGATTGCACCCGGAACTCAACAGAGCACAAGTGCGATCACCTCTGGGACATGTCCACCCATTCCGCCTAGTTTCCCATCGGTTTTGGTGATAAAAAGCACGCTGGTTTGCAGCATAGTATTCCGTCGGCGTTCCACAGGGCCTTGGTTTTCCTATGCGATGCCAGTGACTGAATCACTGATGTAGCCATATTGCAAAGTCTTTATAAGCTTTATCCTTACCAAATCATCTCACTCCGCGTACAGACGCCGTAACAGGAAGAGAAACAATAGAATGGGGCGGAAACAGACAAGCACTGCACCGCACCGCACCGCACCGCACCGCACCGCAGCACAAAGCACAGCACCGAACCGAACCGAACCGAACCGAACTGAACCGAGCCGAACCGAACCGAACTGAACCGAACCGAACCGAACCGAATCGAACTGAAGTAAACCGAACCAACCGAACCGAACCGGGACAAGCACGCAAGTAGGGGACACTTTCTTCAGGGAGGGGGGCAAAGTCAGTTTTCTCCAAAGTCCTGCAAATTTATACCAAATTGCAGCGAAATTACGCCGTGTCTCGCGTAAAAACCTTGGCTCGGGGGGAGGAGGTTACCGCCACCGTGGCCGTCTCCTTGACTACGTCCCTGAACCGGAAACGGACTGTACTGGACCAGATCTGATTGGGCCTGACCGGACGGAAAAGGCTTAGATGCAAAGATGGCCGGAACGGAATTAATCCCACTGGACCGGACAGCACGGAGCAGAGGAGGAGGAGCATTTCCAAACTAACTGGCCCGGGAGCGAAAATAGCTAAATCGGACATGAAAGGACAGGGGAGAGCTGATATATCCAAGGCATTATCACTCTAGACTGGATGTACTGCGCGGAGCAAAAAGGACATCTCCAGCACTGGATAAGTCTGGTCTGGACAAGTCAAAGCGAAAACAGCCAGGGCCCCACCAGACCAGATCGGGCTAAAACAAACCAGAATAAACCAAACCAAATATAACCCAATCAAACCAAACCAAGCCAAACCAGACCAAACTAGACCAGACCAGATCAAACCAGGCCAGACCAGACCAGACCAGATAAGGACAAACTAACCGAGATGCGCCAGACGGGAGACCAAGAAGCCAGGACAGGACAGGTCAGATATATAGCTGGGAAGTGACAGGGCAGGGCTAGGCCGGACCCGGCTGAACTGGAGACATGAACAATGGGCATTTAGAATAGGACTTGACTCTCGCATGCGTATGCTTTTCATCGGTGATTTTTGTGTGGTGGGACCAGAAAAGGTTTAGTTTACTTTTAAGTTATCTTAAAGCTTTTTTCCATAGAACGCTAAGCGAAATTTTGTCATTTGTGAAACCTGCAGTCAAGCGGCGCGATCAAAAACTGCATTTTCATAGTTTCGTGTATGTTATTATGCTTCGTTTGCCAGTTCTGACCGAAGCCATGGAGGAGAGGGGCTCAGATAGCGGGTGGCAGATATAGTTCCACGAGTGGATGCTCTTCGATTTCAGAAAAGATGGGAAGGTATCGATTCAGCGCATGGCGATAGCAAGAGTATTAACGTAATGGAAACTGACGAGCCCAACGGAAAATATAAATCGACGTACAGATGCCTGTTTAACAACACCGCCCACAACACGAACGCGACTGGGGGCATCACGCCACATCCCTAGCAGCATAACAGAGCATGTAGGCGGACGCGTCTTTGACCTTGGCCGCGGCCGTCTCCTTGAGCATGACGTCATCGACGAAGAACCATCGCGCCGCCGGCTGGTTAAAACAGAACGCGGTGTAGTGTCCCGAGTGCGGACTGCCGTGGTGTTCCACCACCGCGTACAGGTCGTACACGAGACTGTGCGTCTCTGGATGGGGTCCGATCGACAGCTGGCTGAAGTCCAGGTCACGCAGAGGAAAGGACACGTGGCCGTGCGCCTTGCGCATCGTGCTGCCACCGAAGCTGAAGCGCTTGAGATGCAGGATGAGGACGGGCGGCATGCGCCAGATGTCGAACTTCTTGTAAACGTCGTGGCGTCGCCGGCATTTGGGACATGTCCAGCCGTTGATGAGGTCGCCGTGGACGTACTGCTCCAAGCAGTGGTAGAGGCTGCTGCGCGACGTGGAAGCGCCCGCCGCCAGGGGAAGGGAGAGCAGGGAGAACGTCTCGAACGTGGCTGACTCGAAGCCGCAGGCCGTGCAGAGCAGCGTCGACTTCTGCTGGCCGTGGAACAGGTTGACTACGATTGAGTCGTTGGCGCGTCGGAATTGGCGCCAGGTCCGCTCGGCCGCCTCAAAGTTGGACAGCCCCTCCGGCGTCGGCAGCGGCGCCGCTCCCGACGGCTCCGGCGCTACGTTCAGGTCGTCGTGAAGCCATTCCAGCAGCAGCAGGATGTACTCGTGGGCATCGTGCGGACGTGTGCCGCCGAAGTCACCGCGCTGCGCCCCGATGACGGCGCGCAGCCGGTGCGGCGAAACGAAGCGGAACTTGCCCGACCAGATGATGGTCAGCAGCTGTGCCACCTCCTCGGCGACCTCTCCGCGCGTGGCCGACTGCCGGTTCAGGTCCTCACGGAAGAGGCCGCTGACGACGTAGTTGACGAGATTCTGCGTGTGCGCCAGCACCTGCAGCACAGCGTTCATGTAGCAGGTGTTGCCGAGGTTCTCCAAACCGGTGACGCCGGGCAGCGGCCGGGACGCAGAGCACTTGCAGGCCAGGTACTGGTGCGAGCGCGCCGCCGAGCGCACCCAGCGCTGGATGTCCTCGTCGCTGGCAGAGCAGTCGGAGCCGACGGAGGACGCCGAGGAGGCGGACCGCTGGGCGGAAGTCTCACTCTCGGAGCTGGAGTACTGCACGCCGTCCTGCCCGGTCAGGGCGTGGCGGCTCAGCGGTCTGTCGCCTCGTCTCTGCGCCATTTCCGGAGGGGCATTGTTGGCACGCTCTGAATCCGTGGCACACAACCGACGGACGTGTGATTTTAAGAATCGGATCACATGGCCGAAGAACGAGGACAGGATATCTTTGAGTCAAGTTACAGCTTGGACCATTGAACTAACATAAAATGCACACGTCATATGCGAGCAATTAATTTGATTCAGGGAACAGAACTAAATGGAGATAACGAGAATGAATGAGATGAACGAACGCGCGACTTGTTATGATATTGGTATGATATGCGGGTTCGACTTAGTATGATTGCTTTACTGAATTTGTTACACGTGACATTCCTGGGCTTAGCTCTTTTGACACCGCCGTATAAAATGTTGGTATGCTCGTTAAGGGTCTAGATATAGCAAGGTACGTTGGTGAGCATGGTTATGCGAATTCAGAAAAGAACGGACTCGTGGAAACCCGTTCTGAGCTTGATTTGTGTATTGTCCGGAGGAGAGCGGGTTCTCAGGAATTTGGTCTACTAAAACATTTCATTAAGACATAGCAGTCTCCTAATAATTTTTGCTGAGGTCATCTTGACACGCGGACACAATATAGCTTATCGCTCAAAGTTTGTTTATATTGGGGGCTTCCACGCGGTGACCATTCTGCACCCAGTCGGGTTTATACAAGAACGCCAAAACACAAAAGTATGCCAGAAACGCATTTCTAAGTTCGGCATAAGCACACACGCACACACGATCGTACTTCTCAGTCACGAGGTCAGAGCCTTTAAACAGACAGGAAGGCGCGCCGTGATAGAGCGTAGGCAGTCGCTGGGGTAAACAGTTTCTTACGGCAGCCGCCCGGTACGGAAAATGCCGCTGAGTGGCGGCAGTCACTCTGACGCGATCCAGGTACAAGGAACCGCTCCCACGGTCCGCGGCCCGGGTAGTACGCTGGGAGTCCTCCGCGCACGTATAGAACAGCGAGCGCAGAGCGGCGGGCGCCCTGTTAACATGCAATGTGTTCGGTACATGTTTACACGGTTGCTTCGGCGCGTTATCTCCGCCACGCTGAACCATCCCAGTGTTTCTCAGGCAGACGTGATGTGGTCGCAGTGGCGATACCGGTCACCAGGCTGGCGGCAAAATGGATAACCATTTGGACCTACCTCAGGTGGCAGTCGGCAGCACCTCCCCACACGGACAGACAGTATTTGCACGTTGGGAAAACGTGCGCACAAACAAGAAGAGCCAAAAACACCGCGGATGAGGTGGTGTCGAACCTTGAATAACGACACGAGTATGGCATTGCAACGTCGAACGACAGCGACAATGTGGGTCTCTCAGATCAGGTGTTGGTCGAGGACTACACCCAGTACTTTCACTGTTGTTGAGGGGTCGGTAGTTGAGCCGGAAATGTTGCTGTGAAAGTTGCCGGTCTTTGGAATGCAAGATGTTGCGCCGATCAGAGTGAAGTTGGTGTTCTCGGGGTTCATTTTTAGATCGTTTCATTGAAATCGAATTTGGAGGCCCTGCATGGACTCCTCAATGCAGGATTTGGGGTGGGACGGGCCGATGACGTCGGGTGTGGAACTATCAGGGATCTGGGTGTCATCGGCATAGGAAAAGAGCGGCCATGGGGGAGGAAGCTGGAGAAGTCGTTGATACAGATGAGGTCAGGATTGGCCCGGCTAGGGATCCCTGAGGCACATCGTGTCACAGTGGTAACGGCTCGGTGTCGCCCACCAGCTGCCTCCGACCATGCAAATAGCTCCAAATCCATCCGGAGGCCACACCACACCACTCCAGCTTACTCAGGAGGACGCCATAGTCGACTCTGTCGAAGGTTTTGCTGAGGTCGATCGTCGTGGCCGACGCGACATGATCGTTGTCGACGACCCTTGAGAGCCGTATGACGGCGTCGAGCACGGCGTTCTCCGCAGAGTGACACGGTTGGTACGCGTACTATGACTGCGAAGGTAAGTGGTAATTGAGCAGATATGAGGTGAGTTAAGCACGGACGACTTTTTCGGTAATTTTTGATGGCACAAAGAGTATGTAGATTGACCGAAAATGGTCAAATCTCCATGGTCACCTGACCTGAACACAGGAGTGATACGAGCAATTCTCCAGGCACCGGGAAAAGTACATTAGACGATGGAACAGTGAAGTAGTGGAGTAGGTGCGAAATAGTGACCGGAAGACACTTTCTGACAGCCAGCTGAGGGATTCCATCGACGCCGACAGCCCTGGACGCGCTCAGCCGGCCGATGGCTACGGACAGCTCGAGCAAGGTTGCCGGGCGCAGCTCGAGGTCGAAGGTACAGACGCGGTTCGGTCGTGGGCCAACCGGGGGCTAGGCGGCATCGTCGCGCCGCTGCGGCCTCCGCTGCTGTGCGGGTCTCACGGCGGCGAAGTGGGCGTTGAAGGCGTCCGCGCTGCCACCGAGGTCATCAGGGGTCCGTCTCCTCCCTTCGCCGGCCGTAGGCTGAACCGCTCCATGCGATTCCAAGAGTCTCGCTTGTCAGTCAGCAGACTGTCGCACAGGAACATGGCACCTTCAGCAGCGCGCTGTCGGCATGGCGCAGCGAACACTTTATCTCATCTCATATGATTGTGAGATGCGGGGCTGATGTTTCGTACATCACAAGTCTTTCAAGTCTCAACATCGGAGTAGGAAATACGATGTCGTAATGGAGAAAACTTGTGTGAGAGACGAATAATTCCTTCGAAACACAGCCATAAGCTGAACACGGGCTAACCCAGGCATAGTTTGGGAGAATGAAGCCCGGTAATCCCGGCTTGTCTGGGAGTCAATCTCCATAATATTCTCGCCATCAAACCACTTTTAGCCGTCCCACTAGACCCTACCCATAAAAGCCGTTCCTGGGCATACATTGACTCAGAAATACCGGTTGGCAGCGCCATCTTTCCCCGATTTCGTCGGTCTGTGGCACAGACGCGCCAACTAGTGCTGCCATCTGTTCAATTGCGTCGTGGGCACATCAACAACGCACTGCGACATTGCATTCTTAGCAGTCGTGCTTGGGAATTCCGTCAGGTGGGTGGCAGTGCGGTGATAAACGTTGTATGCGATATAACAAATCGTATTTAAGCAGCTGTCGTCTGTATAGCTTGAACTAGTAGTTAGACTCGAATGCGAATACGAATAACCACGCTTGTTAAATGGTTGATACGTCGAGCGCTATCGATCTGGATCACTTGAAATAAGTCCCAAACGGGTCAAAAACATATTCTGGTTTCGTTTTTATTGTTTCAAATAGTACACTGTTTTTTCCATTTCATGAACAAAACCTGCTGATAAGAAGTACCGTCAACGTGCGTGCTCCCTCACCTTGCGTATCTTCTTTGTCCAGTAAGTATAGGTACGATAAGTTCCACGTTAATATCTCAGCTGTGCACCTCGGAAACACCATATCTGATGACATGAGATGCAGAGCCCCTTAAACGCTGGATGCACTGAATCCCGGCACTTAAAAGTTCGGTCCCGTTTGAAACGCCGTCAGACCAGTGCCGTTGATCTGTTTCCAAACACACAACGTTGATCTGTCTCTGGTAGCTCCAACTATCCTGAACAGCTGATCAAAACAAAGACCTGCGAGGAAAACATTGCGCAGTAACCACCTCGCGCAGCCTGCGCATTTCGCTTCAGAGCATGGTGGGGGGCGGCCGCTGGAGGGTGTAGCTGCGGCTGCTGCGCTTCAGGTACGTCTGGGGGCAGTTAGGCTATCGGCAGTCACTGCCCGACGCGAAGAAATAAGTTCGGGCTGACAACGGACCACGCTTGAACCGTGGAGGTGTGGAATTCAATCATTCGGTGAGTACTGACAATTGATTGTCCCAGTTTCTTTGTCACTGATCTTGTGCTTTCGTCAACAGAAGTTGTTAACTGAGCATGGCTGGTTAAACAACATGTGCCACTGATGACCGAAGTGAGATTGGACCACCAGACGTTGGCGTCGGCTGCGGCCATGATGGTTTGTGGCGCGCTCCTGGAACGAGCTGTTGTTTTGGTCGAAGGTTCTTGCGCGGCGGGGTTTGGGCGGCGGTAGAGTAAATCAAGATAAAGAACACCGTCAGCTGTTTTAGAAATAAAGTTTTGGGAGAAACAGGAAGTGTTGTAAGTTACCTGTGTGCCGTTTTTGTTTGTTTGTTTTATTTTCGTGTTCATCTGTGCGCTTTGACAATAGATGAGAGGACCAGTGCTTGTAGATACAAGTGATGGAACCTCGGAGGGCAAGGAAGCAAAACGTCCTGTTCACCTCGCTTCAGTGCATACACCGACCTGGGTTACTGTGTTCTTTGAAACCCATCCGTTACTGGTGATCGCGAGGAAGCTTGCCGTGCCGCGAGAAAGTGAATCACGAACCATGTTGACATTGCTGGCATTGAGGCGGCAGATCAGGCCGCAAAAGCAACCACGTTCCCCGCCGCCGACGTATTGCGAATCCCAGCGAGTGACATGTGTGTCGAAGCGAATAACCATATGGTTATGAAAGGCAAGTGAGGTGGAGCGAGGAGCACCAGCAATACAAACTGAAAAGAGGCAGCATTTTTGTCGCTCCTTGCTACTGTCGCCATTAACTGGGAAAATGTCGGGAAAAGGGAACTCGGCAGATACCGAAATTTATGATAACAACCGGCCACGAAGTGAGATGCCTCACGAGAAGGAAACCGCGGAATAAGTAGCGTAACTGGTGCGAAATGCCTCAGTTGTGGATGTGCTCGTGAAACCCTCAAGCATCCTCATGTCACAGTTACGTGTGCAGCCTCCTCACCGCCTCCTCCGCTTCACATCTGGCCACCCCTGTCTGGAACAATCCTGCTATCCCGCCCGGGCACAGCGTCAGACTCGACAGGCTATGCTCACGGCGGTCGGAAGTGGGCTGGCAGGTGAAAGGACCGACGAAATATGATTGCTTTTGCGTCATAAAGGCAGTCAAGACAATGACACGCCAGGTAGTTGGGTCATTTTTTTGTGTGGGATAGAGCGTTCAAATGCAGTTGAGCACGAATAGTTTTGTGAGGAAGGGGCCATGACCTTATTCTGCGTCTTAGTTGAGGATTGCCCCAAGGCGGTACGTGATGGCCCGGGGTCATGGCCCGGTCAGTGATTCGGCTTGGCAAGATGACGGTTACCACCAATGCGTGAAGACGTGTCACCTTGCACAATCGTGAATGTCCGGACCCCAGGGATTTCATCTTTTAGCTGTGGGTCTTAGATAATGCATGAAAAGAATGGGCAGAAAAAGGGCAGAATTTGTATTTGGATTGTCTATCAATGGTGGAACGTGTTGTGGAGTGCATGCATTCTTGATGCAGGGATGTTGTTTTATTTTCAGTTGGGAATGAGGGGGGGGGGGGGGCTCCAGTCCCCAAACTTTGAGGCAAAAGTAGGTTCGATTTCAGGAAAACTCGTTGGACGTTGGGAAATACGTTTTATCAATTATCATGGTTTAAGCCCCCCCCCCCCCCATCAATTCACTTTACGAAAGTACGCCCCTGGCCCCTGCGTTTTGGTCGGACGTACGTTAGTGATACACTGACGTCTCATCATGGTAGTCCCTTCATTGTGACGACGCAGCGGGCCACTCAAGCCGACCACATCATTGTTCATCATCCAAATTATCCAGGCTGGAGGCAGGCCAGGCTTGGGTGCTGGGCGCGCGTGCGCGGCGTGGCCGTCCGTGTCGTGGAGCGGCTCGGGGCGGCCCCGCCACGTGCGTCATTTGAACCCTGCGCAGTCTGCGCTGCGATCAGCAACAAAGAGTCCTCGAGCCGCTGCAGCCGCCAGGTCGGAGCTGACGGGGTCGGATGCACGTGAGACGGACACCGGCGGTTTGGGCGGGTGGGCCCGGGCATCTGCGTCGTTGCGAGAGGGCCGGGGCGGCGCTAGCCCCTCCGCTGGCGCCGCGGCCGGCCCGGCCGGCCAGCTGGCCGCCAGCCGATTGAGCGGCCTCGATTTTTTCTGGTGGGGATCCAGCCAGTCGATAGGGAATCGATAGGAGCTCCAGTGGGGAGACGCCGCCGGCCGCGCCGATCGATCCGCTGGACGGCCGCCCACGGCCGGCCAGGTACCGGCCGTCGACAAAGGCGCCCGTATCGATTTGAGCGGGCACGCACTGCGACGGCGTTTTTGTGCGGACGGCCCTGCAGTCAGGCCCGCTGTCCGTTGAAGGCCGCACCGGCCGCAACAGATGGCTCTCTGTCGACGCCTGGGCGGCGGGCGCCGCCTGCGCCACTCAACGCTCACAAAGCGCCGGCGCTCGTCAGGACAGCTTTCTGACCACCGGGCGGGGAGGAACAGGGGCGGTCGAGGGGCCTCTTCGGGCCGGTGCTGTGTGGGTGGGGGTGGGGGGGGGGATGTGTGCTGCCGGTGGGGGTGTTTTGCCGCGCGGTTCGGCTCTCCCCACTGGGCGATTCGGAGCCTGGCCTCGTATGAGCCGCGACAAAGCGGACCTGCCTGCTGCCTGTCGGGCGTCAGAGAGCGCGGAGCGGCCGTCGTCGATCGTGTCGGAGCTGCTGGCATGTCCCGCGGGGGGCTCCGACGAGAGCCGGCTGCCCCGCGGCTGTCCCCTGGCGCGTGGCCGCATCGATCTGTCGGCCGGGCGGCTCGCTCCACCTCCTCCGGCTCAGCGGTGCCGCGCTCCCGAGCAGCACGCCACCAGCTGATCGTGGCCGACATCCGGCCCGCTAATGCTGCCAGCTTGGCTCGGCTACCAAAGCCGCCTGGCCAGTGGCGTTGTCATGGCTACCAGGCCTTGTTTGCCAGCCGGCTGCGCGCCGCCGACCACAAAGAGCTCGCCAGCAGGGCGCAACCGGCCTTCCACTGAAACGACATCGAATTTGACATCCCCGCGGCGACAAAGGCAGCCTCTGGCAACTGCGGCTGTCGCCCTGCTGTGTAGAACTGGGCCGTGCCAGGTCAATGGAGGCTCTTAGGACCCTGTTTAGGCATTGCCGCTGAGGCTTAGTGTGTTCTCGCGCTTTCGCCATTCAGCATGCCCGCAACAGCTGCTTTATTGCAAGGTCGTTGTGGACGTTAAGACTTCCGTTGCATTCGTGCAGTGGCCACCTGGGCTAAAGCACCGTGACAGCGACAGTATATAATAATAATTTCTTAAACGTTGTTGGCAGGCATTGTCTTGCTGCGTGTGCTTGGACACCATGTGGCGCAACGTTCTGGGTTTTGAAGACCATTTGGCGAATGCCAGCGTGCTCTTCAGGTACCCGAGTTGACTCGTAAACGCACGTTACAGCACTTAGAAATCCGCGGAGATGACAGAATGGACAGGTCCGTAAGACTCTTGAGAAGATTGCTGAAACTCGTATAATCAGGGGTAAATTTAAGTGCAGAATTACCGGTCGTATGTTTAGGGCCCTCGATTTCAAAAACGGATGTCTAGTGTTGGTGCAGCGTCTTGAAGTCACCATTTTCTCCAACCTAAAGTACAAGGACCCTCTGCCTTCAACCAGTGGTGTTTCAAAGTCAGTCTGTGCGCATAGACACCCAGGCGTCTCCTAAATCATTGACGTTTTATGTACAGCATGCAACCGCACGCATGCGCGTATACGCTAAGGCAGGTCTATGACCAAAGGAACGGTGGCAAAAACGGCGTGGTGCCACCCGGAACCGAAAAGTCGCTGCTTGTCTTGCTGTCGTGCGCTATATGCAGACGCTTTTGCGAGTCATCGGGTTGCTGTGGACCATCGTAGCGTGCACTCGATCTCTAAAAACAAACGCTCTCTGACATGGTTGCCTTACTTGCTGTCATAGGCGCTTCCTGTATTTTCTGTATCAGCCAAGACGTGAAAGCTGTAGCGCCGCGTCTTCCATCTCAGTTTGGCTCGGCACAGCCCCTACAGATGAGGGCGCACGCACATAACCCTTCAAGGCGCACGCGCTTATCCTTTCAAGGCGCACGCGCTTGTCCCTTCAAGGCGCACACACATCCTTCCAAGGCGCACGCACTTATCCCTTCAAGGCACACGCACATATCCCTTCAAGGCGCACGCGCATTTCCCTTCAAGGCGCACGCGCTTATCCCTTCAAGGCGCACGCGCTTATCCCTTCAAGGCGCACACACATCCTTCCAAGGCGCACGCACTTATCCCTTCAAGGCGCATACACATATCCCTTCAAGGCGCAAACACATATCCCTTCAAGGCACACGCGCATTTCCCTTAAGGCGCACGCGCTTATCCCTTCAAGGTGCACGCGCTTATCCCTTCAAGACGCACGCGCATATCCCTTCAGGGCGCACACATCCCTTCAAGGCGCACACACATATCCCTTCAAAGCGCACGCACATATCCCTTCAAGGCACACGCACTTATCCCTTCAAGGTGCACGCACACACCCCTTCAAGGCGCACGCACATATCCCTTCAAGGCGCACGCAGTAATCCCTTCAAGGCTCAAGCGGTTATCCCCTCAAGGCTCACGCGGCTATTCATTCAAGGCGCACGCGCATATCCCTTCAAGGCGTACGCACATATCCATTCAAGGCGCACGCGCATATCCCTTCAAAGCGCATGCACTTATCCTTTGAAGGTGCACGCGCATATCCCTTCAAGATACACGCACATATCCCTTCAAGGCGCACGCACACATCCCTTCAGGGCGCACGCACACATCCCTTCAAGGCGCCCGCGCATTTCCCGGGCGGAGGTGAGGGCGCGGCGCATCGGCCGAGCCGTGGAGCCATCTCCACCGCAGCGTGCGCACCAAAGCTGGCACGCTGCTGCGTGGCCTGGTTTCCGGTTCGCTTCCGCGCTGCGGACGGCGGTCCTCGCCGTCACTTTGGCATGGGCGCCC